GCCGGTTGAGCTATAGGCGCCGAGCCATGACTTTCATTTACTTTTTTTCTTACCTTAGTGCAGTGGCTAGTTGGATAGAGAACAGGTACCCTCCTTGTTCCCGATTTCAGGGATACACTGTTCCACAGTTCACCATTAAGAACAGTGCCTGATACAGGGTTTTCACAGCCTTTTATCAGATTAAAGGAGTTTCCTTCCTTTCCTAATTTGCTGAAAGTTTTTCTTTTTTAAAAAAAACCTCTTTTTCATAATAAAGGTTTTAAAGGTTGTCCAATGCTTTTTCTACATTTTTATCCTTTATTCTAGTAATATGATTTCACTGATTGATTTACAAATGTCAAAAATACACTTGCATTACTGGGATAAATCCAACTTGGTCAAGGTCACTCTTTTTATCTATTGTTCAATTTGATCTGCCAATGTTTTGTTAAGGATTTTAGTCTGTGTGAAGGATATTTGTCTATAATTGTTGTTTAGATATCTTTGTCAGGTTTTGCTATCAGCCTATGTGTATATAAATATAGACATACCTCCATACAGAATATATGAAGGACTTTCACAACTCAATAATTTTAAAAATGGGCGAAAAACATGATGAGATACTCAGAAAGGGCATGTGAATGGGCAATAAACAGATGGAAAATGTCCCACATCAGTGAGTTCTGGAAACACAAATTAAAGCCACCAGGAAACACTTCTGTCCCTAGCTGTGAAGGAAGATGCAGCACAGCTAGGGCTCTCGCACCCAAGGGAGCAGGTGGTGAGGGGGCAGGTGGCACATCACTCCTAGACATTTTCCCAAGAGATGTGAAAACACATGGGCACAAAAACTGCGTACAAAGATGTGCATAACATCTTCAGTCACAAACACTGGAAACCCATCCAGGCGCCACTGCAGTGTGGACAAGCAAATGGAGGCACAAACCCACACCAGCTGCTGCTGCAGCAGCTTGACAAATCTCAGAAACTGCTCCCTATATGAAAGACAGACACACTACATAACTCAGGAATGGGGCAGCTCTGCCCTCTTTGTTCTCAGCAGCACTAAGGGAGAACTAAACGACATGGGGCCAAGTGGGACACCTTCACATATACAGCTCTTTCTTTTTGGAGCAGGGGGCTGGAAAGGCTTTTGAGGCAACCTTCAAGGATGCCAGGTTCTATATCATGACAGGTGTGTGGTTTACAAATGTGGGTATATTTGTCAAAGCCAATGGGACTAGACACTTAAGATCTGTACATTTCACTGTGTGTAAATTACAACTTAATAACTAAATAAATGCAATTCATTTTTGTATTTTCAAAATCATACTTAGAACAAAAAAGCTAATTGCATCAAAAATTATACAAGGTAATTAAAAATTTGTTAAGAATTTAAACTATAATAAAGTATACGGGCAGCGCCTGTGGCTCAGTGAGTAGGGCACCAGCCCCATGTACTGAGGGGTGGTGGGTTTGAACACAGCCTCAGGCCAAACTGCAACAAAAAATAGCCAGGTGGGCGGTGCCTGTGGCTCAAAGGAGTGGTGGCACTGGCCCCATATGCTGGAGGTAGCCAGAAACTGCAAAAAAAAAAAAAAATAGCCAGGCCTTGTGGTTGGCTGTAGTCACAGCTGCTCAGGAGGCTGAGGCAAGAGAATCACCTAAGGCCAAGAGCTGGAGGTTGCTGTGAGCTGTGACACCACAACACTCTACTAAGGGCAACAAAGTGAGATTGTCTCTAAAAAATAAATAAATAAATAAATAAAGTATATATTTTTTCACAACTCTTTTTCCTTAGAACAGCAGTTCTCAACCTGTGGATTGCAATCCACAGGAACTGTATTAAAGGGTCGCTGCATTTGGAAGGTTGAGAACCACTGCCTTAGAATTGGTTTCAATGAAGAAATAATACCTCAGGTCACTGCAATTTTAAATAAGTAACATATGTAGATAACTGTGGGTAAAATTATTTTTGATCAGGCAATAAGGAGTTAGGTGCTGGCAAGAAAACCCTGTAAATAGCAGCCACCAGACACATTCATGGTGACTTCAGCCTCACAGGGAGCTGTAGCTGAGGGTGGGTGGGGTGTGTGCAGATGAGTGGTAACTGGCTTACTTTTCACTATCAAGCCTTGGGGACATCATGCAGGAGAGCTGTGGAGTGTCACTGTGTCTACCTCGGTAGTGTTAGACATCTTCACAGGAAAGGAAGACAATGTGAAATGTAGCTTTCAGGGGACCTATAAACCCAAGCCTCTCAATCTAAAAATCTCGTCTCATGCTCTGATAGAAAACAAATGTAAATTATTTGCACGTAAAAGAAACGTTCTAGTCTGGTGACAAGAGGTGGCTCTTTAAGCGAGTTAACCGAGATGTCTATGCTAAGTGGTGAACAACAGAAATGTGGAGAGAGGCTGGAAAGTGTTTCTATGACTGCCCATCCAGACACCTGTTTGCTCAGCTTTCCGGAAGCACTTGGGAGTGATGTGTGTGTCAGAAAAAGAAACTTTCTGCTTAATCCGAATTTTATTTCTATGACCTTCTAAAAGTAATGTGGCCGGCAAGGCCTGGTGGCTCACATCTATAATCCCTAGGGTGACCAGATTTTAACATTGGTAAAGCAGGATAACATGGCCCGGCCCGGGGCGGGGCAGGGCCTGACAACAACGCAAACTTTGATAAGCAGTTCTCGATAATCACTTCTCAAGAATTATTTATTATTACAGTTTAACATTATAATATTAACAAAAATAATATAAAACTCATATCCTGGCGAAATAGCCACATGGCAGCCGAAAACTGTATATTCCCTTCCTGTTCTCCCGCCCATTCGTGCATTCTTTCCAAAAATCGGGACTTTTTTAAAACGCCGCGGGACGTGGGACAAATTGTTAAAAAGGGGGACGTCTGGTCACCCTAGTAATCCCAGCACTCTGGGAGGCTGAGGCGGGTGGATTGCCTGAGCTCACAGATTCGACACAAGCCTGAGCAAGGGCGAGACCCTGTCTCTAAAAATAGCTGGGCGTTGTGGCAGACACTACTCCGGAGACTGAGGCAAGAGGATAGCTTGAACCCAAGAGTTTGAGGTTCCTGTGAGCACTCTACAGAGGGCGACAAAGTGAGACCGTCTCAAAAAATAAACCAATAAATAAAAGTAACGTGGCCGCTAATGATCCTGGCTGAAGACAAACTGCAGCCCAGCGGCTCAGAACACGGGAGAGGGGGGCGCTAGAGGTGAGGGGCATGGGGGGTATGGGGGGCAGGGGAGGCCGGGAGAAGGGGAAAAAGCGCTTCCAAGGCCGCAACCGCGAGGGCCCCGGGTGAACCATAGGGAAGAGGCAGCGGCACTAAGAGAACGAAACAACAAATGGGCCACGTGCGACATCTTCACATTTAACAGAGCGAGGCGGTTACCAACTCAGTCACAAGAGCGTTTGGAGGGGAGAAGCCACCTTAGCCGACACGCTCTGGAAACCAGCCCAAGACATGAGGCTCAAGTTCCGCCTACAGTACGACGTCGGCCGATCGCGAGGCGTCAACGCGCGCCGCGAGAACTGCCCCCGCCCGGCAGGACCCGACCCCTTCAAACTGGGAGTGAAGCCGCGCGGTGACCGACTTCGCGGACCTTCAGCCACCAGGCCACCTGCCCGGTCCCCGCTCCAGGCCAGCCTGGTCACCTCCCCCGCGCCCCGCCCCCGGCCCCGGCCCCGGCCCCGGCCCCAGCCCTGGCCCCTCACTCACCCCCGCACCCTCCGGGCTCCTCTTTCGTACGCCCCGCCCTCCAGGCGGCAGCGCCGCGTCCCCTGGGACTTGTAGTCTCTTCTCCGCCGCCACCCGGGCGTCAGGCCGCGGACCTCCCAGCCGAAAACTACAACTTCCGGCGGCCCCACGAGTGCCGCCCTCTAAAAGTGCCTTCCGCAACGGGTTCTCGGCGAGGAGCGCGCGGAGCATCTGGGAAGTGTGGTCTACAGGGTACTGGTAACCCATCTCCCCTAGTGGGCGGGGAGGAGGACTGCATTCCCCAAGATTCCTGGCGCGTACCAGTCTTTCGTGTTGCCCCAGGACTGGCAGGCCGGCAGGCTGAGGCAGGAGCGGAAGCGGGGTGGGTCTGGGGCTCCGTAGGACATTAACGTTCTTCATACGTTTTATTCGTTTAGGCAAAGACAGAAAACTGCAGTTTGTAACCGAGGCAATTCTGCATACCCGGTTACCTTTCGGTTTTGTTAGAGAAAGTCAGCAGGTGCGACTTGCTTTACGCACACTTAAAGGTTATGTCATAGAAGCTTCTTAGGGGCAAACACCGTTTTTGAGCCTTAGGATCTGATTGATGACGAAGTAAACACATCCATTTCAAAGTAAAAAGCCATCTGAAGTTGAAGTATGTTTCTTAATGTGCCTTTTTGTAGAAAATGACACCTGTGGTTGCACTTACCTCCCAGGAAAAACGTTCACTATCTCTACATAGAATTCTTTATTTTATTTTATTATTTGTATTTTTGAGACAGAGTCTCACTTTGTCGCCCTTGGTATAGTGCCCTAGCATCACAGCTCATAGCAACCTCAAACTCTTGGGCTTAAGCAATTCTCTTGCCTCAGCCTCCCAAGTAGCTGGGACTACAGGTGCCCGCCACAATGCCCGGCTTTTTTTTTTTTTTTTCCTTCTTTAAGATGAGGTCTTGCTCTCGCTCAGGCTGGTCTGCAACTTCTGAGCTCAGGGCAATTCACCTGCATTGGCCTCCCAGAGTGCTAGGATTACAGGCATGAGCCACCACGCCCGGCCTCTACGTGGAATTCTTGATGGAAGTCCAAGGAAGGCATCAGTCCTTGGGCTGTCTTGTGGGCCATATCTCTGCCACTTTGGAGACCTCAGGCAGCTTCTTAGGGGCGTCTCTCTGATGGAGTGAGGAATAAAGAGACTCCTGAAGTGCCGAGTGTGCTTGAGGCTGACTTTTCTTACAGACATGTACCCATATATAGAGTGGGCTGCGGGAGGTGGGGTGTGCCTGGGACCCTGCCCTTGGCAGTCCAAGTTACAGCTTCTGGGATGATGGGGTTGGCCCCCAGAGAGCAACAGTCAGAAAAGTACACTGGGTGTTCCCCCGGGGGATTGTCTTCATGAGTGAAGAGAATCAAGACAAGACAACTACAACACTGCTTTCTGTGCCATCAAGCAAGACTGCTTTTCTTCAGGGGCAGCACCCCAGCATGTGCTGCCTTGATAGCAGTGAGTGGCCCTTGAGTCTGAACAGAGATGTGTGACCTTGGCCTGGACAGAGATGGGCACCTGGGCAGATCCCTATTAGCCCCAGCTCTCCACAGGCTGTACTGCACTTCCATGGCCCGCCAGGGGCTTGTTTGAGTGGATGAGGAAGACAGAAGGGCATGACCTCAGTTTCTCTGAGCTGGTAAAGCCAGTCAGACTGGTCAGATTTCTCCAGGCCACCTTTACCCTTCTAGATGAAGCTCCACCCTGTGGCCTAGCTGGTCTGAGAACTCACAGAACTCATGAGGGAGGGGAGGTCTAGGGTAGCAGGACTGTCTAGCTTCCTAGGCTGGCATGATACCAATAGGATGGTGCCATGCCGGTGGAATTTCCTGTTGTTGGTCTCCAGCTCTGCCTCTGAACTGCATTCCCCAGTGCTCACAACTTGCCAGTAAATCCTTTTAAAGGATGTCCCTGAAAGAACTGGAAGTATGTGTCTGCTAATCAAAGCCTTGCGAGGGGATCCTGTCAGTGTCTCTTGGGCTGTGGCCACCAGACTCTTATTTCTGGGCAAAGCCAGAGGGCAGAGGCAGGTAGAGGGTGCAAATGGAGAGAGCACAGGTGTCCCAAGATGCTGGTGCCCCTCCCAGCTCTCCACACCTCACTCTGGGACACAGCCCTGGCTGCCTCTTTCCCTGCTGACCTCTGTGCCCAGCACCCATGTGACAAACATCTTGGGAGCTATCTTCTTTTTGGATGGCACTAGGGATTTCCATCCCAATTTTATTATTTATTTATTTTTTAGAGACAGAGTCTCACTTTGTTGCCCTCGGTAAAATGCTATGGCATCACAGCTCACAGCAACCTCTAGCTCTTGGGCTTAGGCAATTCTCTTGCCTCAGCCTCCCAAGTAGTTGGGACTACAGGTGCCCACCACAACACCTGGCTATTTTTTTGTTGCAGTTTGGCCGGGGCCGGGTTTGAACCTGCCACCTTCGGTATATGGGACCAATGCCCTACTCACTGAGCCACAGGCACCACCCTCCATCCCAATTTTAATGTCTAGACTTTTGGGGGGGGCAGGACTGTGTTTGAACCTGCCACCTCTGGTATATGGGACTGGCACCCTACTCCTTTGAGCCACAGGTGCCATCCAATGTCTAGACATTTTGATGGAAATAAGGCTCCACTCTTACAGTGTGAGGAGATTGGCTAAGCAAGAGTTTTGGAGACAATGGGGACAATCTATGTTTGTGTCTTCTCTTTGGAAGGACAGTATTTGCCTGAGCTCTGTCTCAGGGTGCCTTTCTGGCCAATACCCACCCACAGAGAGCCACTCCCCACTGGAGGTTCAAGCAGAGGCATCCAGCATGTGGAGTTTTCAGAATGATGATCAAACCTGAGAACCATCATGCCTGGAATCCTAGCACTCTGGAAGGCCGAGGTGAGTGGATTGTTTGAGCTCACAGGTTCAAGACCAGCCTGAGCATGTGTGAGACCCCATTTCTAAAAAATAGCTGGGTGTAGGGGTAGCACCTGTGGTTCAAGGGAGTGGGGCACCGGCCCTATATGCCAGAGGTGGCAGATTCAAACCCAGCCTTGGCCAAACTGCAACAAAAAAATAGCCAGGTGTTGTGGCGGGCGCCTATAGTCCCAGCTACTTGGGAGGCTGAGGCAAGAGAATCGCCTAAGCCTAGGAGTTAGAGGTTGCTGTGAGCTGTGATGCCACAGCACTCTACCGAGGGTGATAAATTAAGACTCTGTCTCAAAAAAAAAAAAAAAAAAAAACCCTGAGAACCAAACTGTCTGTGAACGTGGCATCTTTTGGGTGCCAGTCTGGCTAAGAGGAACCAGGGCCCCAGCACAAACAGTGACACAGAGGACCATGGGAAGCAGTCAGTGACTGCCCCTTCTGGTGTCCAGTATGCACTACAGGTGACTCGTCCAGGGCCCTGTGCCTGTTTGGATAGAACTGAGCTGCTCTTTCCACTTTCTTGACTATGGTCAATAGACCGCAGGACCCCAGTGTTTGCCAGGATCATGTCATGTTGTTGCTGAAGCTGCCTGTTGTAGCCTTCGCTCACCCTAGGCTGTGGCCCTGGGTAACTGTGTTCTCATCCCAGAACTAGGTGTACAGTGCCTCGTCATCCCCTTCTTCACTCAGAGTGGTCTGCTCTTCCCTAACAAGAGGCCCTGTAAGAAGGAAGAGGATCAGGGAGGTGCTGAGGAGGCCCAGACTACTGTACCCCCCCCCTCCTGGGCATCACTTCCTTGTAGGGGAGGCCTGCACCTCCCCAGGGCTCTCATCTGCAGCCCCAGGCTGGTCTCCAGAGAGCAGTGGCCTGCTGGCCAATGCTGTCCCGGCACCACCTGTCTGAGCACCCTCTTGGATCATGTGGGCAGTGAGAGCCCAACAACCTCTGAGCAGCTGTTGTTGGGGGATGGGGGTCACACAGTGAGTGCTGAGCAAAAACTTCAGGCATAACTTCTGATAGGCCATGGTCCTGAGTGGCCCAGACGAGGCCATGTGAGATGTCCCTGGAACAATCTAAGTCACCCCATGAACTACACATTCCTGAGAGTATGAAAGAGCATAAAATCCCATTAAGTTGAAAATACAAGCATCTCTTAGATCCCATCAAGCTGAAGGAAATCTCTAGACTAAACTAGAAAATATGTTTACTATCTTAACGGCCACAGAAATACAGAATCCTGTATACAAGTCAAGTGGGGGATGCTAGGTCTGAAGGCCACAGGGAGTGATGGCCACAGGGAGTCATGACCAGGTCATGAGCTAGTGCCCAGCACAGGTCACTGGGGATCTCACAAAAAGTTTTGGAATCCAGGTAACTACCTCAGCCGAGTGGCAGTGCTTTCCACCCTAGAGGAGTTCAAATTCTGTATGGGAAGGGCAAGAGGAATTAAAAAGTCTTGTACTAATATGCCTTGTGTTAAAATGGAATTAGCACCTTTTTTACATTTGTAACTTTTTTTTGAAACAGGGTGGAGTGCAGCAGGCACTGTCATGGGCTCAAGTGATCTGAGTAATAAAAAAAAAAAAGCAAAACTTCTTTGTTTTTTAGAAATAAGGTATCACTATGTTGCCCAGGCTGATGTCACAGCACTCTACCAAGGGCAACATAGTGAGACTCTGTCTCAAAAAAAAAAAAAATCAAAATATACATTATAAATATAGTAGAAATATTTAAAGGTAGGAAAAGACATGGAGACATTTCACTGAAGAAGATATACAGGTGGTAAATGAGCAGATGAAAAAATGCTTAGCATCATCAGAGCACATGTGATATCACTATACTCAGACAGAATGGCTAAAATTAGTCCCATTCTGGTTCAAACCCAGCCCCAGCCATAAAACACTTGAAGAAATTGGCCTGGGAGAATATTTTATGAGGAGGATACCCTGGGCAATTGAAGCAACACCAAAAATCCATTACTGGGATCTGATCAAACTAAAAAGCTTTTGCACAGCCAAGAACACAATGAGTAAAGCAAACAGACAACCTTCAGAATGGGAGAAGATTTTTGCAGGTTATGCTTCTGACAAAGGTCTGATAACTA